CCAAAAATGTCAAAAGCATTTAGGAGCTTGTATCTAATCCTTAAAAGATTTTAGGGTTTGTTGGGAGCCTGAGGCTCAGCCATTTCTCAGCCTCACCTTCTAAGATAGCCAAGGTATATGGAGCTGTAGTTCCATACTGCGACACGGCAGTCTTCAATTCTTTGATTAGTGGAAATTCAAGTACTGTATGATGTCGCCATGCCTGCCTCTGGTCATCTACTGTTTCCATTACGGGAAAAGCCTCCATATGGGAGGCAAGTCTATCAGGTTCATTAAAATTCTCTTTATATGAGTGAAGGCCGGGCCCCTTGGGGGCTGGGCGAGCTCTTTCTCTATCTACAACAGCCTCGCTAGCTCTCCCTATTCTAAGCTTTTGTAATTTAAGCATCAGCACCTGACGCATCTCTTCTTGCTTAATTTGTTTGAGTATCAGTGACTGATGTATATCCTCCAACTTAATTTGTTCCTGCAACTGTTCTATCTGTTCCCTCAATTCTGATCTAGGATCTATCGCCGCCATATCAGTTGGAGCAGGCGGTACACTATAAGAAGGAGGGCGATCATACTCTTGCCTCTGGGGCCACTCTTGCCTCTTGTGGCCATTTGATGGTCCATCCTCAGTTTTACAACTCAACCCCTCCCTCACAGCCTCTGCGCCATCCGTTTCTAAGGTTGGACAGGCAGCTTCTGATAAAAGAGCTTCTGGTAGGAGGATAAATATGTTCTTTTCTAACTTTTTGGGCATCCTCTTGATTTCCCTTCCCTGTAACTGACTCTGAGGACTCCTTCTTTAAAGCTTTAGAAGAACTCTCATCTTCACTATCAAGAGAAATTAAGTCAGGAGGCTCCGGAGGCTCATCTTTAGGAGTTTCTCTCAACTCTGACTTAGAACTGCTTCTAAAAATCTCTTCAGCCTGGGCAATCGCTGCCACTACTGGTTCATGTTCATCTCTCCTATCTATTAATTCTTTTATTAAATTCCAATAAGAAAAAGCAGTAACCGGGACCTTTCCTGGTCCAACCACTGTATAAAAATCTTGTAATACATCTCCTACTCTTCTCCATCTTTTTATATCTATAACCCCCTCCTGGGGAAACCATGGACAAAGGTCCTTTACAAAATCAAAGAAATGAAATAAATCCTTAGTTTTAACCTTTACTCCTCTTGCCTGTAGAGCTTCTCTTAACTGTATCAAATAAATCTGATGCTGACTTAATTCTTGCCCCATGATTAAATGACCAACTTACCTTCGGCTCGGTCGCGGCAGGCTCCTGCGGCATCTCTGAATTATTTGAGCAGGTGTGCACCCCTTTTTCCTCCGTCATCGGACCCTCACGTTGTCCCCAGTATCCAGGCCACTCTGCAGGAGGCCACTCCGCTGCATGACTCGGTTCCGACCTGCGGAAACTGCCACGAAGTACCTGGATTGGGGAGTGGGGCCATGGATGAGGCAAGCGACAAGAGAAATGGAGACAAGACAGGGCTCTGATCAAGTCTCATTTATTAAAGCACAAACATGAGTTTAAATAGAGAATGAGAACAAAGGAGCAAAGACTGCAAATAATTACATCAGTCAGAACACAGGGACCCAGATGTACTCTAAGGGAGGAATCTACTAATAACTAGAAAGGAGAACAAGGTTGTGGGCCAAGGTTGTGGCCTGAATGGAAAGGTCACCAACTCAGGTCTGCCAGCAGCCCTGAGAAATGGCTGAGCCTCAGGCTCCCAACAACAATGAGGTGGACAAAATGAAGAAATTCAATCTTTTCCCAAAACTGGTAGATATTTTAGAAGAGTGGAAGACACATCTGGACTGTAGGAGACAGTAGAGGGCAGCTGATAGGATGAACAAAATATCTGTTTTTCATGGGAAAAATGTCCTCAAATGAATTTGGAATGCTGAGTTAGGTGAAGTTAAGCAGACTTCGTATCTGGACAGCCTCCAATAACACTGATGTGTGAAGACCCAAAAGGCTCAGTATGTAGCTTCCCAAGGTAATTCAATGGCATGCTGCTTCATGCCAACTCCTGAGAATCTAGGCATCTCTTCCTCATTCTGAGCTTGGTGATGTCACCATGGTAGTTTAAAGTCAGCCATGATGGGACTACCTATTCTGTACAACAAATTAACAAAATTAACAAAAAGGAGCTTTCCCTAGGAAAGCTGGTTCTTAAACATGTTCTCATATACCATCATCTTAGAAACTCCTTGTTGATAAGACATCATAACAAAACAAATCACAACCATGTTGCTAACTTCTTAAGTTTGTAAGTGCTTTCTCTTAGAAAAGCAGCTGCTTTCAAGGCAGCTGAATGTTCTCTTTAGGGATGTTCCCAATGACTGGATTGGGCTAATTCATACTGGCACTGTAACTGAAACAGGGCCACTCATCACCACTGCTGGAAGGGTCTCAAATTGGGTAGGGGCATGGAAGGAAAGTGACTAACTGCACAATGGGCTCAGGACCCAGTGTGGGGGTCCATCCTCATTGGTTCTGAGCCCTTCTCAGGAAAGTAACTCCCCAGTGTTTGTATTTGAGTAGGAAGACCAGTGAAGGGCATGGCCCACTGATACCCATATGGCCTAATGACAACCAGTTCTGAACTGACATGAAAATTGGTGCTCACACCATTGTTGCACTTCAGAATGTTCGAAAAGATGCACGGAGGACATGCAAGTCATTGTGCTCTTGGGACTGGCTTCATATCAATAACAACTACAAACAGTTTGTATGGAAATTTTATTTAGCAGTCAACATTTTCTTCACATTCATTCTGTTGAACAGTATGAGACAATCCTGCTCATCCTACTTCAACTCACCAGTTTTATTTAGGCACAAAGGTTTTAGTTTTGTCTTAAAATCAAGTTTTAACTACTTGAGGTTACCACTACATAGCAAGCAGATCTTGCTGGAAGATGTGTTGAACAGTTTTCACCTTCTGTCTGTACAAATGAATGTTGTTAGGCATTTTGGGTTTTAGAGTTGGTTCCCATCATAAAACCACAGTAGGACACTGCACCTTTAGGTCTAGCACTAAGAGGTCCAATGCCATGGGGTCTGTGTATGGGTTTACCAGCACAGGCTCTGTCCATGGCACCCTGGGAACAGTGGACATCGACTGAGCTCTTTCGAACACTGTACACAGCCATGCTTACCTGTACTGTCACCACTGTCATTTCTGCTAGCAGGTACCAGCAGCTTTATGATGGGTTAGACTAAGGCTGTTATAGTTGTATTTCATACTATACATAATCAGCTGCAACACAACAATCATGATATAACAACTACCAGGAAATACAGTGACATTTTACAGTGGATTCCATACAAAAATATGCATTTCTCATTTTAAAAGTGTTAATAGTACCTAATCTTTTTGTAAATTAAAACAAAATTATTAAAGGAGTTGACATAATGTGTGAGGGAAGAAAATAACAAAGAAATAAACTCTCAATCCAAAAATTACATTTAGACAGTTTGTAGTAATAAAAAAGCAGCTTAATGATGAAAAGAGAATTATATCACTTTTTATGGCACTTTTTATGCTGTTCTGTCTCAGGGACCAGGGCTGGTGGTCTTTAATGTTTGTATAAATTGAAAATAGCCTTTATTTTATAGGCAATAAGTAGGTAAAAAACATTAGGATTAACCACAAGATATGAACTTCTTAAGACATTTTATAAGAGTTTCCACCCTGTTAAATTCAAAGACATTATATTATCAAATAGCTTTTTAAAAGGCAAATGATTAAAGCAGAAATAGCTATTCAGCACATGTACAGGTAAAACATACTATCTTGAAAAAAAATTTGTTTTAGAAAAGGAATACACTAAGTAGACACTTTACTATGAAATACTTCAAAATCTTAAGGTAGTAATTTAAGAAACTCTGCCAATTGTCTAATTTGAAAATGTCCACTTTTTAAACAGTGGAGAGGCTGTGTGCTGGCAAGACTGCTGCTAAACGTCACAGCATGGGAGCTTTGTAACTTGGCCTTGCAAAGCCAGCCAGGTTCTTACCCGGATTGGAGAGGGCTTCCGATGAACATGCCCCTGAAAGCTTCCCAGACTCCTCTTAGTGTTGCTGCCAGTCAAGAGGGGAACTTCTCTGTTAAAACGGCAGTATTTTGAGAAGTCCTCTTTTTCTTGCTCTCTATTCTGTGCAAGTGCCCATCTTGTGAGCCCCCGACCAGTTATTTCTAAGTGTCGGCAACATCAGCATCCCAGCTGGAATGCTGGTGGGGAGGCTAGAGAGTCCCAACAGCCTGTTGTCAGTGTGGCATGCTCCTGTCCATAGCCCTAGCACCCTTGGCCAAAGCTGGGGCTGTGTATCTGATGCCCGGGTGGCCTAAGAGCCTCTCAGGATCACATTCCACAGGCTACTAGGTGACTCTCTGAGAGGCACAAAAATGTCTCTGTAAGACTCCTGGCTATTTATATGAAGCTTTGGTGGAGGGGGTGGGGATGGGGATATATTTCCAATATGCAGTAGGATTCTAATGCCCTAATTTTAAAATGTGAAAGTATATTTTCCTGTTATTCCCATCTTCTTTGTTATTCATATCTCAATGTCAAAGGCACTTCTAGGTTTAGTTAGCTACAGTGACTGCTTTAAAGTTACAGTGCATATGATTTTAAAGTTAGTTCTATGATATTCAAAGCAAACTCATGATTTTGAAACACAGTGATCTAAAGTCCTAAACAAGTTGAACTAAAATACATTGTAGCCTTGGAACATGAACCCTCATCAGCTAAGTTCAACTAGAGATGACGGAAAGGGATAAAGAATATAAGAACACCACTGAAGCTTGCTGGCAGTTTCGTCAGATGTTCCTGAAAATGTATTAAATAGTAATTATTAGCTTTCCTATTCACCTTCTTTGGGTTGTAATCTGAGTATCAGATAATCTTTAGTAGGTAGTAGGAAAAAATGGATATGGGCAAAATTAAGACAGCAGAGAAACCTGACTAGTGTGATCACAGTTCTAACAATGGGGGAATGTGTGCTGCAAATGACCCAAAATGAGCCAGACCTGAAAACCAAAAATTACATTGGTCTGAGAATAACTGAAGGGCACATGATTCAACATGTTTTAAATATTAGTGCAAATTTCTTACATATAAAAATTATCAGTTTTAAATGCATAGGTGAACAATTTCAATTCCGAGGGGAAAATTTACAGCTTTTCTCTACATGTTCAGAAAATACCTTAGTTTAGTCTTCATTTGCTAGTGTCTCAGTAGATAACCATATTTTGGCCCCACTTAAAAATTTGCTTAATGGCGTTCCTAAAATGCTTCGTCTGCATAGATTTCCTACAGGAGAAAACGGAAATGATGAGGAGAGAAACTCTGGTGTCCCCAGGGTGTCATGAGGGCCACTGGCTCTGAAGTACATCCTGCTCTGGTCCAGCTCTGCATAGCAAGCTTCCAAGGGACCACTTCGCTGCTGCCGCAGCATCCTGCCCAACATGTCCACCTCATCAGCCAGGATGGAGAGCTTGTGGAAAGCCATGATGGAGCCCCCAAGGTTGATCTGTGCTTCAGGGACCCAGCGGAAGTAGCACAATTTCCACAGTTTTATGTGAGTTCCAGAGAGACGTGGCAGGATAACACCATGTAGGTTGGGTGATTTGGAAAACCACTCTCTAAAATATTGCTCCACATCACTGTTCTGGCTGTCAGTATGCTGAAGTGGGTCTGACTTTAGTTTCAGTATCAATGAGTTTCTGCGAGGGAACAATTCTTGGTCACCGATGATTCCATTCTTCACCGATGATGGCATTCCTCTCAGTGTGGAACTGTAGCTTTTCTGTATGTAACACAGAACTTGGCATTACTCTACCTGAGCATCCATTTTTCAAAGACTTGTGGTACAATGGCAAACCCAGTTTTAATGGACAATGGCTGAGACTTCAGCTTTAAAGGACATGCTTCTTCTTTTCTTTGGGGTACTCACTCTGACCTCCCTGGGACTAGACTGTTTTTAGGATTGACTCCCCCAGGTTATTCACCATGTCAGAATGAGAGCAGAAGGCAAGCACAGCCTGCCTATTAATCTGCTTAAGTGCATGCTCATAAGAATTTTGGGTTGGGGGAAAAAAAGAAAAAAAACAACAACAAAAAACCCCACCAAAACCTATACCTGGCTAATTCTAGAAAGAATGTGCAGACTGGATAGGGTTCAGGTTTAGAACTGCCATCTGCCAACTCTTATGGTTACTGGATATCAAGAGCCACAGGCACCAAGAAGAAAAGTCAATGCATTGTTACATCTGTGAGGAAAGGAATGACCCTTCCAAACCTATGCTGCCCACTGTTTTTAATACTGTGCTCTACAGAAGTGGTGTGGTGACATGTGCACCAACATGAGGTTTCTATTGCTACTATGTGCTGCAGCTTACCTTTGTGCGCTTCAAAGACTTCCTGGAGCCATTCTGTACACAAGGCGTGCTCTTTCCAATGTAGAAGGGGTTGTGGAAGAGGGTGCGATCCTTCGCTGTGAACTGAAGAGACCAGTCCCAAACCGAGGGGAATTTCAAGCCCTTTTCATCACCCAACTGAATATTTTTGCTTATAGCGAACTCCTGTAAGGTAAGCCATTTGAGCATGTGTGAGAAGATGCACATCTTCATCCTTTCCTCTGCCTCCATCTCACAGGCAAGCCCTGAGTCGGGACTCTCCGTTCCCAGTGGAGTGGCACTCCCACTCTGTGAGTGAGGATGTAGCACTGAGGTACAGAGAAGTGGGAATGAACATGAGTGAGCATAACATTTGTTCAGCTCCCTGCACACCAAGGAGACTGTGTGCTCTGGGCACCGAGGGTGCTAATAAGAGGGCAGGTCTTCCACTAACATGATTCAGCAAAGCCTTAGACCACTGCTGATATCCCTTTAGGCTGATACAGCATGATGACCTAGGTTCACAACACAGCAAATGAAGAAAACAAGGAGCTGAGTGACACCATGTCTTTCCTGTGGCAAGAACAGACATGAGGCTCCTCTGGAAGGCAACCCCTAGGCCCTATCTCAAACTAAGCAGTGCCCCTAGTGATGTGGAGAAAGCTAAATATGTTAATATCCAAAGAAAATCAGTTTCCACAAATAGTACTTGACCACTAACATTTAAATGTGACTTCAAAAAGTGAAATTTGGGGAAGGAGCCATGTATGGCAGGGGTAGAGGACAGAAAAGACCAGTGTCTTGCCATGCTGGGGAGAAGGCAGCAAAGGATTCAAGTTAATACCTGGCAGAGAGGAATTTCTGAACTAGCCAACTTTTAAAAAAATATAGCACTAGGACATGACTTAAACAAGGGAAGATCCTCACTGCCTCCTGTTCCTAAATAGAAGCCTACTTGTCACTTTACCCACCACATGCAAAATCTACCACGGAGCTTAAGTAAGCAGTGGTGTCTCTGGTGGCCACCAAGTTTTCTGCTCAGCTTCTTCCCAATGCATTACTGTCATGAGACCTCAAAGTTAATGTTCTCACTGGACACCTGATCTATAGGGACTTTAGGTTCCCAGCCTTCTGTTCCTTCTGCAGGCCCACACTCGGCACACATGTGCATAGTACATAGACATGCATAGGGGTCAGTGAAGGGAGAGAGTAGAGTGAGTAGGTGGAGTCAAGAAAAGCCCAGGAACCATGAGCTCACAGTAAAGAAGGGCAGAAAAATGCTGGCAGTATGTGGGAATGCAAGTGTAGCTGAGAAGCCATTTATTTTAGGAACAAATAAGCCTTCCAGGCCTCAAAAGCCCCTGGATCCTTACTGATCATCAGTTTTATACCAGCAAAGGTTAAATCTTTGTAGAGAAGTATAGAATAAATTGCATAAAAATTCCCTTCCTAAACTGAACAATCTAAAAAATTCTGTAACAGAGCTGAGTTTCTCTGAGTTCTGAGCTTCCAAAAGCAGCAGTGGTGAGTTACTGAGGGCTCTCATCTGGGATGAGACCTGCTCCACCTCCCTCTTGACAACCTGTTCTCTCCCTTTATAATCAAGCCCCAGGTCTTGTCCTCTTCTCTGTGATGGTCCTCATTAACAAAACTCCAAACTGCAATATCATGAACAGTGTACTTTTTCACACCTGCAATCCAGAATAACTCATGTTTCTCTAGGACATGTATGTATGTGTCACAGTCTGCAATGCTATCATGCAAAATGAGGCCAAAGGCACAATTGTGAGATGCTGGATCTACTTTGCAGATATAGAACCTGGGCTTTCAGGCTTATTTCTGAGAAGACCACAGGTTTCATATTTTCTAGACCAGGGTCAGAACGTGAATCTGTGTCCCAGAGCACACTACCTAGCCCAGGGCCCCAAGGCTGAGGCTAAAGACGGAGAGCACACTGTGTCCATAATCCCCGCTTAGTCTCCCTCAAGTCTGCAGAAGCTGTCCTTTGGCTTCCCTCCATAGGCACTGCAGCATTCCTGGGCTCTTCCCATTGTAGGTTCATATGGGCTGAGACAAAGCTCGTGGTGCAAGAAGGCTCTCACCAGCAGTGGGGAAGGACTGGTTTCAGGTATGGCTCTACACTTTCCTTAGTCCTCAGCCTTATTCCTCTAGCTCTATGAACTAACACCAGGACGCAATCCCACCCCAAGTGACTGCTATGTGACACAAGGAACTCTGAGAGTATATGACAGAAGAGAGTCTGTAGAGGACTTCAGTCTGACACCATGTTTACCTTTGTATCTAAAGTTCCTGGCTCTATAACCCTGGAAGAAACAGTTGAAATACAACTTTTATTCTACTGATCAGGAAGTAAATGAGTTCAAAGAGGGTCTTTTGGTTAATTAACAACTCAAATGTTCAAAGAGTATTGCAAAAGCACAAATAGGGCTGGTGGCTCAGATCTGTGGTCTCAGCTACTCAGGAGGATTGCAAGGTCAAGGCCCCTGTACTACAGAGTGAGTTTAAGGCCAGCCCAAGTAACTTAGCCACATATTATCTCAAAATTGATCACCCCTCCAAAAAAAGATGTTGGTGGAGAGATGTGGCACTAGGGCTATAGCTCAGTAGAGTACTTGCCCAGTATGTGCAATGGCCTGAGTTCAGGGCTCCACACCAAAGATCCAAAAGTATATTTAAGGTGGTTAAAGTACCTTACATTCTTAAACTTGTTTATTATAAGCAAGAAAAATACATAATATGCTCATTAGTAAAAATAATTTCCTAGATTTTTTCTTTAAAATAATGCATTCAGAAATTAGTTTGAAAATGTTAATTCGAAATATGCAGTTAATTGTACTTCAGTTATATTTCAGAGTTGTAAAAAGAAAAGGGGGGTTGAGAGGCTCTAGAGAGATAGCTCAGTGGATAAATACATACATGAAAAGGGAGCTGCAGCCATGTCACTTACCGTGCTTTGCTTTACCCGCTGATGAGGTGAGTTGAACAGAAAGGTACCGAACAGTGAGATCCGGGTACTGTCGCATAGCACTGCTAAGTAGGTCTCTGAGAATTCAAAGGCAGCTGGATATTGCTCTAACAGCTGCCACGTGGTATCCAAGAATAGCAAGAATAAAGGAGACTGGCAAATACAGATAAATAAAGGGATTATTGAATGCTGTCCTCCAGTTTACACTTATTCCCAGATTTATTGCTGACATTAAAGACAAAGTTAGTAAGAAAATGTATAAGCCTAAAGCACTTGACTTCCAAGCTAAGCTATGGCTATACAGATTGGTCCTGTCTTCATCAAGCCAAAGAAGAGCATTTAATCACAAAAAGTCTACCAAGTTTGAGGGTGACAAATAAATGAATGTGCTGCCACTGTAATGCAGCAAGACCAAACTATGCATTTAAACATGTCCTGAAAGTGGTTCTATAGAAGAAAACAAAAGTTCACCCCAGTTCTCTGGCTTTTGGCTGATCTGTTGCTGATTGAGCACCCAATAAACTTCCCCAAGTTGCAGAAAACAGTTCGACACTGGTCTCCTTAGGCCACCTGGACTATCCCCTTGGGGAGCAGCTCCTGGCAGCTCATTGATGTGTGCTATGACAAGTCAGACTGTACTTTCTAAAAACCACTGAAAAAACTGACCTGGCTGTCTGGCCTGGAAGGTGTCATGGCAGGGCCTTCCACAACCCATTGATGGAGCCCAGCAGCCACCTGCCACACAGGAGTTATAAAGATGTCCCTCTCAAAATCTTGGTCCCTAAATCTTATAGCCTATTTTCAGAAAAGTGAGACTCCAAAAGTAATTTTCAATCATACTCATGATAATCTTTTTAGCGTTTATCACTTGTACAAAATACAGAGGTTTTATTATGACATTTTCATACGCCTTTCATACTACTATGACATTTTCAAGCTACTTTGACTGTATCACCATTGGCCTTCTTATCCCCACTCCTATCAGTCCCCTCCCTATTCCCTAATATGCCTCTTTTACTTTCATGTATTCTTAAATTCTCCCTATATATGATAACATATTATATCCATCTAAGTCTGGCTTGTTTTTCTTTAACATCATGATCTCCAGTTCTAACTACTTTTCTTTATTTTATGGTACAAAACTATGTCTTGTATGTATATGCCAGAGTTTCCTTATCCATTCAATCTGGATGATGATATTGGGTGATTCCATAATAAGCCCAAATATACAGGTATCTCTATTGTATGATGCTTTTGATTCCTTTGGATATAAACCCAGGATTGGCATGGTTGAATCACAGTAGTTCTAATTTTGGAACTTCCATATGATTTCCATGCTGGGTACACTAATTTCATTCTTACCAACAGTGCATAAATGTTCCCTTTCCCTCACACCCTCACTAAGATTTGTTTGCCTACACCTAGACTTTGAAAGGCTTCCTCTAGGCTTTTCTCTGATAGCTTCAAATGTCTTATACTAAGGCCTATGATTCATTTTGAAATGATTTTTTTACAGGGTCAAAAGTAGGAATCAAGTTTCAGTCTTCTAAATATGGATAATCTGGTTTCCCCAGCACCGCTTATTTAAAAGATGATCTTTTCTCCAATGTATGCTTTTTTTCCCCCAATGTATGATCCCAGCACTTGGGAGGCAAAGGCAGGTGGATCTCTGTGAGTTCAAGGCCAGCCTGGTCTACATAGTGAGTTCCAGAACAGCTGGGGCTACAAGGAGACCCTGTCTCAAAAAGACAAAAAAAAAAAAAAAAAAAAAAAAAAAAAAAAAAAAAAAGCTGCATGGATTCATTCTGAGTTCTCTGTTTCTGTTTCATTGGTCTGTGTGTCATTTTGAGCCAGTCCCATGTTGTTCTTGTAACTCTTGCTTGATAGTACAGTTTGAGGTTGGATACTGTGATCCTCCAGCATTTGCTTTTTTTGGAGCTTTGTTAGGAATTGTGTCCTAAAAATATGATTTGTTTTGGAAAGTTCCAGGAGGTGCTAAGCAAACTGTGTATCCTGCTGCTGTTGGGTAGGATATCCTTAGATGTCCATTAAATACATCTGATTACAATGTATTTTAATTCTGCTGTTTCTTCCTTTATTTTTATCTTTTCTGGATCACCTATCTCTTCAGGGTAAAGTATGTTAATATTTTGTTTTTATTTTTCTGGATGACCTATCTCTTCAGGAGAGGGTGGGTGTGTTAGTTACTTTTCTCATCACTGGACCCAAACACTTGACAAGAAGCAATTTATAAAGGTAAGATTTATTTTAGCTCACAGTTTGAAGGCATCCAGTCCATGGGGGTGGGGGAGGCACAGCAGCAAACAGCTGTGACAGCTGCTCTCACATCTATGTGGATCAGGAAGCAGGAAACAGGAAGCAGGGCCGGACTATGAATTTCAAGGCTTACCACTAGCAACTCACTTCCTATAGTAAGGCTCTACCTCCTAAAGGTTCCATTACATCCCCCAAACAGTACACTGGACCAAGCCTATGGGGAAGAGCCATATTCCCTACAGTACTCTGCCCATAGTCCCTGTAAATTCATGGTCAGCTCATAATGCAAAATACATTCAGTACAACTTCCGAAGTCCTCATAGTCTTACAGTTCTAACATTATTCAATGTCTAAAATCCAAAGTCTCTTCTGAGATTCAAAGTGTACTTTTAATGGTGAGTTCCCATAAAATTAAAAAACAAGTTAACCTCTAAAGCAAGATTGAAATCCAGCAGGATAAACAGTAAACACTAAACTTTGCAGCTGTATGTCTGGCATTTGGAGTTTGTGATAGATCATCTGTGTTCCAATAGGTTTTAGTAGAGTAGCCCTACTCTTCCAACTCTTTGCCTTTGACACATATGATCTCCTTGGATCAGTTTTACCCAATGTCTGCAGCTTTTCTGGCATCTACAATATCTTGGAGTTTCTATTGCCACTTAAGACTCTGCCTTCACAGCTTCATGTATAGTACACAGGGGTGTTCCATGCTGGATATCCAACCCTGCTATGTGGCTTTATCAAAAATTGGTAAAAGCGTACATGTGAGACTCCCCCACACTCTTCCATCTTGCATGCTTGCAAAACTATCACCATATGGACAATACCAAGTTCCACTGACAGCTTAAGATGTAGTTTGAATTACTTGGACCATAGGTGCAAGTCACTTATAGTGAAACAACCATTGAGTACCTCTGCAGCTGAGCCTGGGAAAACACTTCACAGGCTACCATTTGCTAGCAGGATACTGTGAAGGCTCTACCTTTTCAACACTGTCCTTTGAAATGAATTTGCACTGTTATGCCCTACAGATTTTGATGGGTGAGGTCCTGCCCTCTTAAGCACCTTTCCTAGTGTCCTAGTGTAAAGTTTAATTTTGTGGTGCTAATCTTTTAGCTTAAAACATATAATCATGTGTTCTTAGAGCAATAACCATGCCACATCCTGAATGTTCTGCCATCTTTAAATTTCCTCCACCAAACAAATTAGTCCATTACTTTTGAGTTCTCTCTCATTCAAGTTCTCAGGACTCAAGGACAACGCAGCCAGATTCTTTACTAGAACATAATATCAATAATTTCTAGTTCTGTTCCCAGTAAGAATCCTTGTTCCCTCCTGAAACCTTGTGAGCATGGTCTTTATTCTCCACATTTCTACCATTCTGGTCTTCACTCAGACCAGAATGGCCCTTTAAGCTGTGTTTACTGTATTTTAGGGCTATGCTATATTGAAGCTCCAAATCTTCAACATTCCTCCTGGAAACCAGGCCTATAAATCCAGTCAGATTTATCCCAGTACTGATCTTACTTCTCAATAATTTTCTGTTAGTTACTTTTCTCACTGTTGTGACCAAACACTTGACAATTAGCAACCTATGGGAGGAGAGGTTTATTTTGGCTGGTGGTTTTCAGGGATACAGTCCATTATGGTGGAGATGATGTCACGTAACCAAAGTACTCAAGGCACCATGGTAGATCTCTAGCATCACCCAAAGATAAGGAAACAACCTGCAATAGTGACCACAACCTATGGGCAAACCAGCTTGAAGGGTAGCTGTTCTGGCTCTACTCTGTAAAGATGCCAGGGCAGTGGATGCCACTAGTCTTCCATTTTTGCCTCTATAGTAATCTTTTACAAGTACATCAATTCAGATTCTAATCCATTAGTTAGGGTTTGTGTAAGGAAGCTAAGATATATTAAAAGCAATAATGAAATCCAAAAAAAAAAGCCCCCTTACCTTTTTATAATCACAAAAATTTATCTCATACGCATCTGGAATGTGCTAATATGAGATCTGTGAGATGGCTCAGTGGGCAAAAGCAGTTGCCACATGAACATGAAGAGCTGAATTTGATCCTTGGATCTCATGGTAGAAGAGAACTGACTCCTGAAAGTTGTCCTCTGACCTCCACACCCATCATGGCATGCACAGTGCATCCCCTCCTTTTCCCTCCTATATACATATATGTACACACACACACACAATAAAATAAAATTTTAAGTGCTAATAAGAGGGCTGGAGAGATGGCTCTGTGATTAAGAGTGCTTACTTCTCTTCCAGGGGACCTAGGTTCAGTTCCCAGGACCCACATAGCAGCTAAGAACCATTCATATCTGCAGTTCCTGGGGATCTGACACCTTCTTCTGACCTCCACGAGCACTGTATGTGTATGATGCACTTATATACATACAGGCAAAGTTTTTTTTTTAAAAAAAAAACTCATATACACAAAGATTTAAAAAAAAATTTTTTTTTTTAAAGACTAGTTACCTCTTTCTCTGATCTCTTCAAGTGGTTGCATCTGTCTAGGAACTGATATCCTGCCATGACCCACTCCTTCTGTACCAGACTCTGAAATCCAGTAATTGTCCTGAAATATGGATCCATCATCACTTGAATAAGAGAAGCCACCAGACAACTCAAGTCTCTTCCCTCCTCCTCTGTCAATAAAATGGAAATAAAATGACAATGACAAAGAGAAATCCTGACAGTAAGCTGAGTAATTCAAGATTCTATACTAAAACTGCCTTTAAAATAGTCTATGTAAGCTCTCAAATATGGCAGACTTTTAGATAAATTAAATAGAGCTTAGTAGGAAACGGACTCTCATACAGCATTATTTGTGAGATAATAACAGGTCACTGCCCATGTTTCTTATAGCGCAATAGTTTGTGGTAGAAAATCTTTCTAGAACACATTCTACTATTGTTAAGAACATTAAGTATAACATGATTTTTCCACTTACAGCTCTATACATCAATGATTCAGAAGGGAATGATGGGAATAGGATTGTTCCTACTGTCTGAAAAGGTTGACACGCAGTTCCTTCCTTCTATATGGGTTTGAGGCTGGCCTGAAATGTGCTATATATCCAAGGATGACACTGAATTTCTGATCCTCCTGTCTCTATCTTCTAGGATAGGTCCTGCCCAGTCAACTAGTGTCACTGAAAACAGTGAGTCTAAAATTACCTTGATATGAAAGCTAGCCAAAAACTAAGAAAATTATCAACTAATCCTTTATGATTACAGATGTAAAAATCATTACTAAAATATCAATAAACAAAGTACTATGGGAATCTAAGAATTTACCCCAGGAATACAGAATTGGTTTAGCATCTAATAAAGTAACATGCCATATTAATAAAATAAAGGTCAATAATATCATCTTTAGAAGCAGAAAGAACATCTCACACACTTCTACATCTATTCCTAATAAAAACTCTTGAGCAAACTAGGAATTAAAGGGAACCTTATCAGAGGCATCTACAAAACCCCTTCAATTAATGTCATTCTCAATAGTAAAAGACTAAATGCTTTTTCCTAATATTAGGAAAAAGATAAGGATGTCTGTTCTCAGTACTTCTGAATACTGTCCAAGAGGCTTGAGTCTGAGCAATTAGGCAAGAAAAAGAAATAAAGGGCAACAGTATTAGAAATGAGATTAAAAACTGTATTAATTAATGTCACCAAGTATCGAAAATTTTGTAACAAAGATTTATGCCTCCTTATGATCTGGGAGTCTATGCAGGCCTTGAAAATTGCTGCATAATTGACACTGATCTTAATAATCTGATCATCTCAGTATTTTTGCCAAAAGCCTTTTATTTTTTTCCTATTCCATAATTAACTAAACTTGAAATAAATTGGGGGCGGGAACCCTGTATTTATCAGCAACATAATCCTGTATGTTAAAAATATCAAAGATGGGGACTACTACAGGAATGGCTCAGTTGGTAAAATGCTTGCTGTGTAAGCACGAGAAACTCAGTTTGTCCACAGAACCCATGTAAAAATCTGGGTGGGTGCCTATAATCCCAGTGTTGGGGAGCTCGCTGGCTAGCCAGCCTAGCTGAATCAGTGAGCTCCAGGTTAGGTGAGAGACTGATAAAAAAAAAATAAGGTAAAGAGTGATTGTCAAAGACAACCAATATTGACCTCTGTCCTCCACACAAACAAGCACACACATGAATATGTACATACACATACAAGAAAAACAAAATCTTAAGGAACCCACAAAATAACTACTAGAATAAGTGAGATTACAGAAATTCTATATATAACAAATATACAATAAGGCTAGAAATGCTGTTAAGAAAACACTGTAATGAAAGGAATATAAAAATACTTTAAATACTCGAGATTTAATACAATCAACATAAGATTTGTACAATAAAATCTGTAACCACTGCTAACAAAATGAAGGGAGACAGAAATACATGGAGAGACATTCACTTCACAAGTTGGCAGATTCAATATTATGGGTTCAAAGCATTTATATGAACACTCCAGCAGCCTTTTGTTTCTGAGTCTAAAAATTATACAGAAATACAAGTGACCCAGAATATCCAAAACAATGTCAAAGACAAGGCTGTAATAGTTAATGTCTCAATTTTAAAGCTTACTGAGTATACCATCCAATGTGATACTGGCATGAATGAAATAAAAAAAAATAAACTCTTACCATTTACAGTCAATTAGTTTTCATAAAAGTGCCAAGGCAATTCAATAAAGAAATGATAGCCTTTTCAACAAATGTTCCTAGGAAAGTTTAATATCCACATACAAAAGAGATAATTTAGCTGGGCATGGTGGTACATGCCTTTAATTCCAGCACTTGGGAAGCAGAGGCAGGTAGATCTCTGTGAGTTCAAGGCCAGCCTGGTCTACATAGTGAGTTCCAGGACAGCTGGGGCTACAGGGAGACCCTGTCTCAAAAAGACCAAAAAAAAGAGAAAAGAGACAATTTAAACTTTTACCTTATAACACACACACACACACTCACAAATTCATTCAAAATAGATCAAAGATCTAAATTCTAAGAGCTAAAGCTATAAAAGTTCTATAAAACAAAACATGGCGAAAATGTTTTTATGACCTTGAGTTAGGCAAATAGTTCTTAGATATAAAAACATGATCTGTCTCTTCAGCCTCCTTGATCAAGAGGACAGGTGACCCCCTCCCAACACCATTATAGGACATTTTGAAAGATGCTCATAGTCCCCTGGAACTAGTTGACCTAGGAGGGCAAGGAGCAAAAAGCATCCTTTATGTCCCTCTTACCAAATTATTACTGACCTCAAAGTATGTGTTAAACAACCAAGAAAGTTAGTTCCACCAGTCTTGTATTTTTAATTACTGTGTGCCATGTAGATAAATCTTGGGCAAAGACCAGCTGTTCTCAGATAAACATTACCTAGACATATATTTCTTGATCTGCTATGTATAATTTGTCATTAGGTTGTAGGAGTAATATGGGTCCTTCTGGTTTTCAAAACCAGCTAGGCAGTGGGGGTGAACAGGGTCAGGAATCAGCAGTGGCTCCCCAGGTGTCTGGGGCCCCAAGACTAGGAATGGCACAGGGCCCAAGCTAGGAGTAGAGAACAGCGGGGGAGATGGAAGGGTGAGGGCGGCTGGCGGAGTCAAGGCGCAGAGGACTGCATGGTAGACTTACCCCCAGAGAGGCCTGAGGGCGGGAGAGTCCCAATATAATTTTTAAGAGTCCATATGTATAGTTAAAGGCTGCTTAACAAGCAACAATGCCAGATAGGAGATACTTTCTTTTGAGTTGTTAGCCAGGGTGGCCCAAGGGACTCCCATTTAGTAACCCAGCATAGAACTGGGAAAATGAACAGCAGACCCTAATCTTATCTAAAGGAGTACTGACAACTGATTCCTGCTAGAAGAGGAACAGCTGACCCTCCTAAAACAAAGACCTCCAGATAGGCTGACTAGATTCACCAGAAGGGCAAGTAGTGGGGAATGGCTCGGGGTTCCGACAACACAGCAGACAGTAGCAGGGATATCAAAGTATAAGGGCTCTAGTGGGGGCAGGGAGGCTATGGGAGGGTGCTACCTGGGAATTGGGTATATAAATAAATAATTTTTAAAAAGATAATAGATAAAGCACATTTCTCTCTGGATGTTTTAAAAAGTAGTGCCTCATTGGATTGGTTTATTTTCTTGTTTCTGGAAAAATTTCTCTTCTTGCTTTAAAACAACAAACTGTGGTTTTCTACTTTTTCAAGTGATCTATGACAGGTTGGATTAAAAAATACACCCTTTGCTTGAAAAAAAATAATAATAAATACAATTTTTTTAAAAAATTAAAAAAAAACATGATCTGTAAAAAAGAATGGCAAAATCATACTTCAAAATTTAAAAATTAGTGTTTCAAAATATGTTAAAAGAATGAACAGGCAGGTACGAACTATGAGAAAATAATTATAAATCATATGAAGTAAAAAAAAAGCTAGCCCTCGAAGGCAGGAGCGGTCGGCGCCTTCGGCTGAGCAGGAGGAGGAGGTGGAGGAGGAGGAAGAGGAGGAGGAAGAGGAGGAGGAGGAAGAAGAAGAGGAAGAAGAAGAAATCAGTAGATGATTACTGCCACACTTGTAACTGAACAAAATCAACCAGAACAGAATCTGGCTACTAAGAGAAGAAAAAAAAGTTCAGTTACAACAAGAAAACACCTCTAACAACTTCATGAAGGAAAGCAGCAAGTTTGATGATCCCACTTGTAATGAAGGAGGAACTGCTACCACCACAGGCATATCCATTCAGAGCATTGAACTTGCCCTCCCAACCCATGCAAACCATCATGGAAACACATTTGGAGGGCAGATTATGGCATGGATGGAGACAGTAGCAACAGTTTCCTGCCATCAGTCCCTCCATCTCTACAGTTCATGTTATATGTTCTGGGTTTTTCAAAGAGGCAGTTCATGCACCGTATTGTACCTGAATCAGATGCCAGATAGAATCTTTCCTTTCTTTGCCAGAAATATTGGTGGCTGGTCAAAATCCACTGAAGAAGCAGCAACTGCTTATTTTCATAGAGAATGCTACTCATGATGGGCTAAAAGTATATTGTAAATGTTCAAGTCTCAATTACCAATAATCTAATTTCCCTAGCTTAATTCCAAGTGCCCTTAGCCCTGATTTTGGCAAGCTTGGGGTCACACAATGATTTAATACTAGCCTAAGCAAACTGTAATTATGACGATGTTGAAAAACAAGATGTATCTCCAATAAAATCCAGTAACTTTAAACTGTAGAAGATTCATAGCTCTGCCCCTCCAGGGATACAGATATTGGGGAATTGCTTGGATGCAATATTGCATGATCTATAAAATGGTACAGAATTAGTTAAAACTATCACAACCATCTCCAGATTACAGGAGTGCAATGAGTATCCCGTTTGGAACTTTATAAAATGTGAAATGATGCTTTGCTCTAAGTTGATGAATGTATAACATTGTTCCATGTGTGGCAGGCATATATGTCAGGGGTACCTGGTAAGATGTATTACATATTTTAGAGCTTTAAATTAGGAAGGCATTAAAACATAATGGAATAAGGAAAAAAAAAGGAACTTATACCTAGAATATATAAAGAATTCTTAGAACTCAACAGTAAGATGAAATACATTAGATAAATGTAAAGGAAAACCACATAGAAATACTACCATGACCGTGTTAGAGTATTTTTTGTTTGTTTGTTGAGACAGAGGCTCACTATTTAGCCTAGCCTGGCCTTGAATTTATAATCTTTCTACCCTTAACTCCCAAGAGCTGGGATTATAGGTGTGTACATACATACTCAGTTTCCGTTCTTTTTTTCCCCTAAAGTCTTTGCCTCATTAAAGTAAGTTAAATTTAGCCAAGCATGGTATAGTGTATGTCCTTAATTCCAGCACTCAAGGGGCAGAGGCAAACAGATGGCTGTGAGATCAAGGCCAGTCTAGGATGGGATGGTCTGCATTGTAGGAGAGGAAGTGCCAGGCTTAAGCACAGGCTGCACTAAGAGAACACTGCTTCCGCTTTGAGAGCGCAACCCGTGCTTCCGCAAAAGTAAGGACCTACAATCTGCCCAGATGAGGGGATCTATCAGGAAGCGACACACCAACTTATGGGACACTGGGGGCAGGGGGAGAGGTATATAAGGCTTGCACTTCCCAGCAATAAAAGAATCTGCAGCATCTTGCCTGCCCTCATCCAGCTCGCTGAGTCTGTGTGTTGATTCCACGCCACTCACCCCCACCTCGGCCAGAACCCTCATTTCCTGCAGTCCCTCCTGGGCTGGACCTGCGAGGAAACCTGCAACACTGCATAACAAGTTCTAGGCCAGCTGGGGCTATATAGCAAGAGCCTGTCTAAAAATAAATAAAAGTGAGGTAAATTTGACAGATGGTGTCATTGGCGGACCCCTTTGCTTAGCTAGCATGAACATGTTCCTGGGTTCAATTCCCTGTATAAACACACACACATAAACACATGACATTTGGTTAAAAACAAAAAAAGGGGTAAATGGCATCCTAACATATTATTCAATGTGGTTATATAATAAACAGTAGTTCATGATCTATAAATTTTATCTATAAACTCAGAAATTCTGTTAGTACTGTTATTTAGTCTATAACAGCCCTTTGCTTACCTAAAAAATGTTTATATTGAACTTTATTTCTACGAAAATATCAGACAAAATTTATACTACTATTTAATTTGAATTCTTGATCTCAAACTATTTTCTCAGGGTCACAGTTTAGCATAAGTCAGGAGGCTTTTAAGCTAACATGAATTTGTATGAATTAGAAATACAGCACGATTAGTGAGGATGCCCTGCCAAAATTAATATCAGGCATTAGTTCAGCGAGGAATGGGACCTGTCCTATTATAGAGGAGAGAGGATTTACTAAATGGGAGGAATCAGATGCCTTGCTATTCTCCCTATAGTCTCTGCATGTTTTAGTGAAATGATGTGCAGAATCTGTAGTATATTTGATGGTACCACAGAGCTGACTATAAAAGAGATAGCAAGGACGGATATGATGTATGTTAACATGAACAGTCAGTCACCACAGAGGGCTGACAAGACATTCTCAAGAATTATTTTAATTACCTTGCAGGACTACAGAGAGATGTTTGCTTTCTAGCATGTATACAAGTTCTGCTGAATGTTTGAGGAAAGCCCTGAAAAGAGAGGGGGGAAAACAGTTAAATATAAAATTTCCACCATAATATATATGTATTTGATTACATTTATTTGTTTAGAGAGAGAGAGAGAGAGAGAGAGAGAGAGAGAGAGAGAGAGTGTGTGTGTGTGTGTGTGTGTGTGTGTAAGTCAGAGGACAACATGTAGGAATTGGGTCTCCTTCCAGAATATGGGTGCCAGGGATCAAACTCAGGTCATCAGGCTTGGTGGCAGGTACCTTTACCTGCTAAACCATCTCTTCCACTCCCAAAAATATATTTTAAAGGTGCTTAAAATCAAACAAAACTCATCATTCACTCTATGTTCTTAGATTTCAACTTTGTTAATTTATTTGGTATTATCAGAAATGATTCTTTAGGATATAATATCAGGGAATGTCACTAACCCTTTATAAAAAGAAAGAGGCTGACTGATATAGTGTTGAAGAAACAAAACTGTAGAGTGAAAACAAAGTCATGGTTGTCAGAGGACAGGGCCTATGGGAGGAGCTGAGCTATAATAAATAGGGCAGCACAAAAGAGCCTATTGTAGACAGAACTGCACAGAATTACATTCACACATGCCTGTGAACACACACAAGAGCACGTACAAACTGGTGAAACCTGTAGACTGCAGCAATGTCCATTTTCTGGTTTTGATGCTGCACTCCACTGAGGGATGCCAGGTGAAGGGCATACTCTGTACTATCTTTTACTTCCTGAGGGCTTATAATCATTTCAAAATAAAAACTGAAAGAAGAATATTTGACCAACCTGACATATTCCAGCCACCGAGTACTCTCCAGTGAAGATAACCATTTCTCTTCAGTTTCTTCAAAAGGCTCTGTAATATACATGTATAAGCATGTACATTTATACATATACATTTTTATTTTTAGGCTTTTTAAGCTTAATTTTACATGATCAACATTGGAGTTGAGATATTTAAAAGTTAGCTTTAAGGAAGTGACATGCATTTTTACTATAATAAACATAGTAAACACCTAAGAAGATATGTTACAATCCTATTTTCAGACAAGGTATTGTCATAATAGCCCAGACTGGCCTCAAAACTCATGATCCTACCTCAGCCTCTCAAGTGTAGGGATCATAGGCACAAGCTACTGCACCAAGGCCACATATTATAATTGTATAATGAAGCAAAGTAAAGCATTCCCCTAGGCCCTATCTTCAACCTTCTGGCTTTTTCAAGGAAATCTCAAAGTACAACTAACTCTGTGTCCCAAGAACTGGTGATTCCTGGCTTCCCAGACAACTCAGGCCTAGATCCAGGTCCACATGATACCTCTGTTGCTCCAAGTCTCCCCTCATGACTTCTCTTCCCCTCCCAACCAGAGCTACGTCTTTGTGTATGTGGCTCTGGTGTCAGCCATTGCCCTGCACAGGGTGTAGAAAATCATCCACGGCCCCACTTTTGCTAAGAATCTCCTACCAGAACAGTGCCTACCCATCATCCATCAACTACAAGGACAGTTCTTCCCATACCCAAGTGACACAGGGACTCGTTCAAAGACGATCCAAAGATGCCAAAGATGCTTTCATGAGACATCCTCCCCAGGGCACTTGAGTCTGCTCAGAGATTACAACTCTAAGGCCACACATATAATTCAGCTGAGTCACTAATCTCGAAATCTAAACATACACACAGAAATCTCAATAAATCTGTCTACTTAGCAAATTCTTCTGTAAGGTATTCTATACCTTCAGTGATTTGGAGGAGATTTAACAGGTTTGTTTTCTAAAGGTTGAGTCTCTCCTTAGATATAGCGCGCGTGTGCACGCACACACACACACACACACACACACACACACACACACATTGGCAAGGTCTCACTAAGTAGCCCTAGAATATGCAATGTAGACCAGGCTGGCCTCAAATTCACAGATCCTCCTGCCCCTGCCTCCTGAGTGCTAGAATTAAATAGTATGCCACCACACGTAGCCACTACTATATTTTAAGGGAACACTTTTCCTGACAATCCTCACAAAATCTTTATTATCTACTTGTTATATATATGAATAAAATAACAAAATAAAAATGTGATTACCGTTTACACAGAGTTGCTTAAGTTTTACAAATGCTGCCTGTATTTCTTGAATATTGGGCAAGGTCTTATCCAAATCTGATTTGTAAACATCATTCCTCTGTGGGTGACTTTTAGTTATTGCATTACAAATCCTAGTAAAGACAAAACTTCTGTTACTATTCATACATTACTTCAACATCTAATATATACATTCAACAAGTATTTAATGTATTTTATACTTCCTGGGCACAATGGTGTACAAAACAGACATTGTCAACCATGGGGCCTAGTGAGGAAGACAGGCAGTAATCAAACTGCCATTACATATAAATCAAATGGAAACAAATGTGGTGAAGAAAAGCTAGAGGGCTCAGAGAATACCCAACAGTGAGGGCTGACCTCCATGGGAACCAGGGAAGGCTTATTATAAGGTGACTGAAGTGAGAGATAAAAGAATGAGAAAGGACCAAGAGGGTGGGGTAGAAAGTGGCCATGGAGGAGCAAGAAGAGGGTAGCCCAGGAGGGAAGAGCCCTGGAAAATGTCAGGAGAGGGAGAACAACAGGAAATGTCCAGGAGGCTAGAGCCCCAGAAATAGAAACAGAGAGGAAATTAAGGCACCTATGACAGAGATGGGGTGAAGCTGAGGTAGCAAAATGTGGGCTTATAAGATTTCTGAAAAATGAAGTGTCAAGATCTGATGAGGGTTAGAGATGAAGAAAGGAAGAGGAACGCATTAGGCTAGGGGAGGTGTGGTAACATATTTTTGAGTTTTGGACATAAAGTTCGAAGGGCCTTGGAGGCATCCACATACAAGATATCAAACTGGAGATATTATCATATGTTGGCTACTAAAGCCTCAGCCTTCACTGTACCTCTTTTGAGAAAGAATACAGATTAGAAGGAGGAAGAGGCCTTAGACCTCAGACGATGTGCAAAGAAAAAAGGACAGGTCTGTAGACAGCACAGCACCAGCAGTTGAGGACTCAGAGTGATCAACTGTGTGTCTACTGCTATGACTGAGAAGACTCCTATTTCAGTGACACAGAGCTTACTGATGACTGTAGCAGATATTGCCAAACTTGCCTGTTGTGGTCCATTAAAACCATTTGCTAAACTATCTTGACCTCACAGTCGTAAGACACATAGAATTGCAAAGAAATCTGATTAATCCACAAGTGTCTCAAGAGGAAATCACTGTACTTTCAAAGTATGTTTAAGGCAATCTAAGGTCTACAAGTGTTTTTTTTTATATTTTATTTTTATAATGTTTATTTTATGTGTATGAGTGTATTTGCCCACATGCATGTAAGTGCGCCCATGTCGTATAATGCCCTTGGAGGTCAGAAGAGCATGTTGGATCCCCTGGAAATGAAGTTACGTATGGTTGTTAGCTGCCATGTGGGTGCTGGGAATCAAACCTATGTTCTCTGCAGGAGCAGCCAGTGCTCTTAACCATTAAGCCATCTCTCCAGCCCCACAAATGTTTTAATAATTTTAATATATTCATTTTCTTTTCAAAATGGCAATCCTTATATGGAACATGTGGTGCTAATTTATAAGGCCATACCAGCTATTTCCAATTAGTAAGGGATTTACTGTTGTTATTTATGACACCAAGTACAACTGACAAACACCATTTCTCAATTACCTCTGGTCGATTTTCCTCTGCTGCAGCACATCTTTGATGAGGGCCATTCGTACGAGAGCACTGCCATTCAAGTGGCTCCAGCACCATAGCTACAAGACAAGCATGAGCCTTATTTAACTGGCTATAAACGGTGGATGTTACCATCAATGACAGCTAACAAAAGTCATCACTTACTGGCATCCTTCTTCCAACAAAAGAATGGGAAAAGATCTTCAGGTCTTGATCTGCTAAAGAACTTGGCACTACAAAGTATTCTGGAAGGCTAGAAGGGAGAGAAAGAGATCATACACAAGTCTTATGTTCATCCATGTTCTCTGCTGCTCTCTTCACAATATCTAGGCAATGGAACCAGCCTAGATGTCCATCAGCAGATGAAAGGATAATGAAAATGTGGCACACGTACACACTGGAATTTTATTCAGCAATAAAAAAAATGAAATCATAACATTTACTGGAAAATGGAATCATTATGTTATGTGGTAAACACCAGACTTAAAAAGACAAGTATCATATTTTCTCTCATATGTGAAACCTAGATATAAACTTGTGGGCTCTGTGTGTGTGTGTGTGTGTGTGTGTGTGTGTGTGTGTGTGTATGTAGAAGAAAGGTAATGGAACATGTTACATGAAAACAGATGAGGGACTATTCAGGTGGAGGAGACCATCAGATGGAGACAGAGAGAATAGAGGAGATATTAGGGCTACAAAATATGACACATCTGCCAGGCGTGAGGGTGCATACCTTTAATCCCAGAACTCAGGAGGCAGAGGCAGGCAGATCTATCTCTGTGAGATTGAAGCTAGCCTGGTCTACATAATGAGTTCCAGCTGGGGCTACAAGGAGACCCTGTCTCAAAAAGATTGGGAAAAAAAAAAAAAAAGACATGTATGAAAATGTTATTAGAAAATCCATAAGTTTTTAATTAAAAAATTAATTTTAAAAAGGGGCTAAGGAGATAGTCAGGTTTTTGCTGCTCAAGAATGAGGACCTGAGTCTAATTCCAAAAACTCATATAAAAAGCTGGGCCTGATGGCATGTGCTCATAATCCTAGGGCTGGGGAGGCAGAGGCAAGCAAATTCCTAGAGTTCACTGGCCAGCCACCTAGCCTACTTGGGGAATTCCAGTAAGAGACTCTGTCGCAAAACAAAAGGTGTATAAAGCCTGAAGCTGTCCTCTGGCCTTTAGATGTACAGGCATGTATGTGTACCGGCATACACATGAACAGATACACATGAACACACAAACACATACATAAACATGCCATATGAACAATTTTTTAAAAAGGAAGAAAAAAGTCCTGTACTTAAGATAGCAGACCCATCTAGAATGAAGCCCATTTTCCTCCATTTAGCATGCTCCCCTGTAGCTGGAGGACACCATGGGGCAGATGATTCTATATATTGCAGTGTACAACATGTGTGACATGGTCAATTCTCATCAAATTAAAATATGTAACATGAAAAAAATGACAGAACAAGTTCAAATATTTCCTATAATGACTATTAAATATGTACATATTCTCTAGAAAGCATCTGCCTTTGTGGACCCACATCTTATCAGGCTGTGGGTAAGAAGATGGCAGGCAAACAAAACCCCATAGATCTACCAAGAAGCTCAAGCTCCTTATTTCCTCTGCATCTCTTCAAGGCACAATCAGACTCTAGATACTCATTAGACCCCAGTTACTGGTTACTGGTAAATAAGCTCACTGCCCCCCAAAACACCCCTACTCCTTTCTTTCCTCTACACAGTTCATCAAGAGGACAGATGCAAGCCTAGCCAGGCTGTCTCATGTGCCTCTCAGGACATACACTGGGGTGTGCTGGCTATGCAGGTCAAATCCTAGGGGAAATCCAAAGCACCTTCCCCAGACCTGTATACCTGGAAGTTCTCTGTACAGAACCAATCAGTAATAACATGGAAGCATTCTTCCCCTAAGAAGATGATTATCTGCATACACCAATGAGGACTCTGCATTCAAAAGCATTCCAAAAACATCAGTACTAAATGACATTAAACAAATAAAAATTCCTAGATACTTTTGAATGATTCTTGGGTACCAGCTCACTATTCTGAAAACTGTTTAATAAAATAGAGAAAGGAAATACTGGCATTTTTTTTAATATGAACTATATTTCATGGTACCTAGAGTTCGTGTGAGAAAAAAATTTGATGGAAAATGGAAAGGTGGTGGAATTTGAATATAATCAATATGAATCATTGAGAAAATAACAGATCTAGTCAATCATTCTAACTCTTAGCAAAAACCATTTTTAGTGGCTAAAACCATGATATATAAAAATGGAACTGTGTACTAGATGGATTAAATAGACAGCTCATGAGCCTATTGGTCAGTCAGCACTATAAGTACATATGACAGAGATACACTGAGACAGTATGAGCTTGCCTAGGAGAGAGAGAGAGAGACACATACATACATAGAGACACACACATACATACACACACACACACACACACACACACACACACACACACAGAGTGGGACAGAGAACCACCTGATGAAACATTCTTGCAAAAACATTGTCCTTGGATTCAGTTACCCCTAAAGAGCTAACTAACATTTGTAAAGATACACAGGAGGCAGAAGAACATGTTCAAGGACACCATAGGGATAAAACTAGTAATACTTAAAATGTGGAAAATTCCCAGAGTAGTAACCTGGTTTTGTCTTCAAATATACTTTGTATTTATAAAGGAGGTCAGGCCTGAACATTGTGCATCAAAAGGCCTATGAGATACCTCACACAAATTCAATGTAAAACTTTCTTGAATCTTCACTCAAAACAACTTTAAAAGACAGTTACAAGATAAATTACACTTACTAGATTATTGATGATAGCAAGGATACTGTCAATTTCTTTCAAAAGCTATTGATGGTATATATTAAAAAGCTCTTATCTTTAAAATAAAATATCCATTAAAACATTATTAAAAAGATTTTCTGTTAATCATAATTTGCAAGTTATCAATGGCAGCTATTTGATTCTTCATCACAGAAAAGTTACTTTGATGTATACTTCATTTCCAGGCAGACACAGACACAGATACACAGACAGACAGACAGACAGACAGACACACACACACACACACTTCAAATAAGGCTTACCAAGTAGATATCATGTAGCCCTCGTTGATAGAACAAACTCTCCACCCAGAAGCTCCTGTCCTCTTGATCTCTCTGTCCCAATCTGAGTAAGTTTCGAACAGTGGAGTCCTCTGGCTGTTGCCACTACCAGCTCCACTCCTGCCTCCTCCTCCACCTCCTGAAGGCATTCCATTAATTTTGTTGGCTATCGGAAAAGCAATATCATTAATTTTGTTGAATGAGTCCCTTTTCAGCCAGCATTTTCTTATTCTTCCTGTGCCTCCTGTCACACGGATGTGGGACTTGCTGCTTCATCTTTCATGTCTCTCCAAAAATTATCTTAATTCTTTTCAACAAGAAAAGCTCATCTGGTCCTTGTCTAGCTCTTTCCCCTTCTATGAACATCCTTAATTTTCCTGGTTCTGTTGGCTTTACCTCCTTTGCCTTCATACATAAGCAGGTCAATTTGATTGTGAAGACTTTCATCCGATCACACTGGTTGGTGTAGCTGCTATGCCACGCATTTTTCTTCTTTCTTTTACTAGTTATATAATGAAGAATGCTTGTTGCCTATATATTTTGTCTCCATTTACTGTCCTTATTTTTCAATGTTTTTCATTCCTACCACTTTATGGAAACTATTTCTGACCCTCACCCATCTCCGTGCTCCAAACAGAGGGGTAAATCTGAGTCATTTGCTTATTTTCTCTGCATGGGGGCAGGAAGTGGATTCACCCAAGAGTTACCTCTGTTCTCAAGTCCTTAAAATCTTCTATTTTTCTAATACCAACTTCTCATCTGCCTGCTCATTAGAGAACTCACTTTGAAACTGCTCAATTTGAAAAGCTGACAAAGGTGCTTCTGCTCCACTAGAAACTACAGTATTCTCCCCACATGCTGAGTCTGGCAGGATGGGTCTAGGCTTCACTTCCTTAGCAAGGAGCCTTCCCAAAGACAGGAGCACTACTATCTTCTAGGAGCATGCCTACAGCCTGGGGGGTACCTGGAAATGGTCAGAGAAAGGTACCATGCCAGTCAGCCTGATGTGCCCTGGAGTGACAACACCATCTCTCCTGGTCCAGTGTCTCACTGCCACAGGCTTATGTGGCAGTTGCTGTGCCAATGAATGCACAGCGTAGTACATCTGCCTTCAAAAGTACACTACCTTAAAAAGGTGTTTCTGTGATGTTAGCTTCTTGCCCCAAACTTCCAATGATGCTCTAAGCAAATCTAAATGACTTCTTCAGGCCTTCAAGATTCCTCACATAACTTATTTACTATTATTTACAACTTTCATTCCTCCTTACAGCCATACAAAATGCCTATTTATCTCATGAACATGTTCTGCCCATTCTTACTGATTAGCTCTTGGTACAAGAAAGGTATTTTTTAAGAACCTATGATGAGCTAAGTAAGGCTGGAGAACAGAAAGGTAAGGTTTTTATCTTTTATTTTGAAAGCTCCAACAACACAATAGAGAGTAAAGGGGAAAATCACTAAGCACTTAATAACTACATGTACTGAAGATGCAGAAGGGGAAGCCCACTGTTTCGCTGAGGAGGATGGCTGGCCAAGAAAGGCGTTCTAGAGAAAGTATCAAAAGTTGTCAGGTAACTGGTGAGGAGTTGGGCATGCTGAGCAGAGAAAAACATTTAAATAGATGGGACAAGGGAAAAGGATCAAGGAACTGAATATAACTAGAGCACCAGAGATACAAGAGGTAGTAGAAGAGAGGCTATAATTTAAGTGAGGCCAAACTCTAGATCCATGCTGCTCAAGAATGGAACCACTTGCAGCCAGTGTCCATTTAAATTTAAACTAAAACAAAAGATAATTGAAAATACAAAGTCATTCAGGTACACTAAGCATATTTCAAGTGCTTAGTAGCCACATGTAGCTAGTGGCTACCCTACAGGACAGTGCAGAAAACGGGACACTTCCTTACTGGACAGCATTAGTCTAGATCATGAAGGCTTGAATGTACAACCTGCACAGGACTTTCTATGACCAATCTATACAGTTTCCCAGAGCACTATGTACTCATTATATTACTAAGTTAAGGGCGGGGGGACCAGGACCAGCTCAGTAAGTACAGAAAACATCTGGTAGAATTCAATACCTTTTTATGATTTAAAAAAAGAAGAAAAAAAAAAGATCAAGCAAATTGGGACTAAAAGGGAGTTTTCCAGTCTGATAAGAGCATTTATCCCAAATATCCAGCGAATCCCATTAACATCAACACCAAAGACAGAAAAGAGGCCTGCCCTTTAACACTGTGCCACACGGCAAGATGGCCACCACAGTATAAAGAACACACCAAGGTCACGGAAAAAAGTGATGAGTGAACACTGGAAGCACACCACTAGCTCAGAGTTTAAAATGGAAAACGTTTTTAGTGTTTTGATTCTCAGATTTAATAAAGTAGGTTGAGAACATACTAGCATTGAGCTTATTTCTCTGGTCATAAGATTTATGAATAGACAAGTTTATCTGAACATAAAGTGAGAGCACTTAATGGGAGGCCCTGTGTGTTGTTTGCTATCCTGTAGGTTCCTCTTGTTCAAGTCCTGTATTTCTCAACAATTGGGTCTACATTTGTCATTAGTCCTGAATTTTCACTGGTGAGAGTTCATTATGAAATGGGTAATAGATATGTAATCTAACCTCACGGACTAGAAATTCTAGTGCTTTCCAAAAGGCCCCCAAAACATGATAGCAGTAGCATTCTCTATTCATGGACCACTTTGAGGGACTGTAGCAACCAACCGGCCAAGGCGAGCCATCTTAGGAAACCTGGCTTCCTTGACAGCTATCTGACTGAGGTTTTATGACACAACTCTTCAGAGACTAAGTGAACCTAGGAACTAGATGCTTCTGAGACTAGAATTTTCTGTGATATTTTATAAGTCTAGTCCTAGACAGTTGAGACATTTTAGAATTTCTACTTAGTTGACCCCACTAGCATTTAGAATAGCCTTATGTAACAAGAAAGATAGTAAGAATGGCCAATATATGAAAAGAAGGACTAAAAACCATGATTCATGGGAGTTAGAAGTCCCAAAGAAGGGTGAAGAAGATCACCTCAAAAAGAGCAAGCCAACCAAGTGGGAGCATTTTGATCTTGAGAGCCTCCGGTAGAGCCAATATGGCTGTATTTCTCCAGGTTCCTCTAGTGATTCTGCAGTTTATGGCAGCTAGCATTCAAGAGACAAGAAGACTAGTCACATCATTTATAGCCACACCAAGAACTCTAAAAGAATTCACAAGCAACAAACTAAAAATTCCTACACTGTTTCAAATGGGTTGTATAAGCATTTAAAATAAATTCTAAAAAAAAAAATCCAAGACCTATATTACTAAAAAGAATAAAATCAATAAAGTTGACTGTAAATTTACATTTTTTGATGAGACAGCTTTGAATTACATCAGCATTTTAGATATGATGTCTGCTGCAACGGAGAGCTGCTGACACTAAGCCTGTACAAAACTTCACGAGGCTTTCAACTTTTTGGTCCAGAAGCATAATCTGACATCTTATCAATTTTATAACAAAGATGAATCTGTTCTTTTTAAAAGTAAAACAAAACAAAACATTTGACCAATAATCTGATTACTGAAGAGTCCTCATGGTGTCTTTGTAAAGGAGAGAAACAAGTAGACTCATTCTTGCTTGTGCTAGCCTGCTATGTTTGTGGACAGCGTTGTTCTGAAGCCTGGAGTGTTCCACACCTCCCTACACCTCAGGCTGCTCACAGAAGTGTGTGGACAGCTGTAGATCCTTTCAGAAATGGTTCTTACTCATGTGATGCTGGACATAAAAGAAAACCTCAAAAATGCCTAAGGCCAGAGATTCTTTTCATATAATTGTAAGGGACATTCTCCAACTTCAGATCTTATTTGTGGAAACAACTTTGTCACCTACCTGCCTGAAAAAAGGACTTCTTTAATCCAGTCAATGAATCAAGGTGCCATCCAGAAGTTCAAGAGTGGATTATTTGGCATCTTTCACTCACAAATTAATGAATTCTGACTGCAGTGTATGGAAATTTCAGGCTTCTTTTGATCTTAAGGATGCAGTTTATGCTTCTGTAACAGCATGGAAGGATATTAAAGGATGTTACCCTATGAAGAAACTGAATAAAACTCTGGCCAGAGCTATGTTTATGAAGAATTTGCTGAAGGAAAAGTTGGAAGGGTGTAACATTAGAAAGTGTTCCTGAATATTTTAAGTAATTATTAATCATCAATTTTTATCAACTAGTTATATCAGGAAATAAGAAGGACTGATTGATAAGAAAACTCAGTAGTCTAAGAGCTACAAGTTGATAAACTTACTTAAGGTTTTATAGATCAGAGACACCCACAAGGAATGAAGGAAAGAGATGTAAAAAGTAACTTAGGCATCAAGTCACCAATTGTACAATGAAGTTGACTATATTTGGTTGAGCCCAAGTCAGTGCATTTTTGAAACCATCAGATCACATCATTTCTAACAGAAAAAAAAAGGTAGTATGAAGAAATGGGATGTATGTAAGCATGCTGAAATGGTAATCAAAGACTGACTCCTAAATTCTTATAGCTGCTGAACCTTTCACATTAGCTACTCTTTTGCAACTGGGTACCTTACTGATGATGCACTCAGGGATCACTACTTTGTAGCCTGGTCGTGATTCAAATAGCTATTTATCTGACAAGTGAGGATTTATATTTTGCTTTTAGATAGTAAGTAAATTTACTTTATAATAAAATATTACCTTAAAAGAATAACTGTTGTTCAAGCCTAAGTTATAATTAGTACACATTTGAATAAGGAAAATTAAGTTACAAATACTTTCATTATCTAATTTCTATGAAGTAAAAAAAGTAAAAGCTATTCTGCAGGCATTACTTTATTACAGTATCTCTACAGTGCTGATTTGCACCTTTTGAAGTAATGAACATGACTCAAAACATCTGTGGATACTGTATACTGATACTACATTTTAATACACTTACACTAAACTGAAAAAATGGACTACCCTTTAATTACACAGGTTACTTAAATGTATTTTAAGGTAACAAATATAAAACTGCAATACAATTAATAATTTGTAAGCCCTACACCATGCTGGGGTGAATTAATCTTTAATTATAAATACATAATACATTTATTTTCTTCCTTAAACAGGGATGGAACATGCACTTCAGGCAGTTATTCAATGTGTAGTCACTAAGCAACCCACCAGGGAACTAATAGGAGAGATGGCCTCTTTGTGTCATGAATTTTAAAACATGGATCAGTAATGTAAATGTATCTAATGTAACAATGTAATTTTAATGATAGGCATTTTAAATGTAGATTAAAATAACATAATATTTAAAACAGAATTACATGATCAATCTAGCCATCTTTCTTAGGGACGTCACAGCTAACACAGACACATGGACAAAATTATTTTATTGCTGCAAAACTGTCTAGAACACATCTATTTTCTGACAAATGTTCATCTGCCTTTCATTGATCTTATTCAGAAAGGAAACTGTATTTTGGCAATCTTAATGAAATCCTCTAAAATATTTTTAAACTATTTCAGCTTTTGTATGAAATCACATTTTGCCAGAAAAGTTTGTGCTTTTCCACTGTCTTTCAGTTTTCTGCCAGTTTCTAAAACTCAAGGTATCAAATAAAATTAGTTGGAGATATAATCAGCATAACGTACAAACACCCAGAGGTAAAATATATGACACGACTCATATAAGCTAGTGCTTATGACTGCTTATTGGTACTGCCTGGTCACTTTTCAAGACACAAGAAATGATCTGACAAATACTGGCTCTTCTAGTGTATAGTGCTTACTTAACAGTTATAAAGGTAATAACCCTATAATCATTAAAGCTTGTGTATTGGAAGCTTCGGACAAACATAAGAATAAAATTTATACATGTAAAGTTAGTCACAATATTTAATGTTTTCATATTTACCTGGATTGTGGTATTTTTTCCCAACATATTCAAATGCAAAGAGTAGCTGGAGGTCTGTTGGCTGGGAATAATGAGCTATTGCAAGGCATACCTAGGAAAAATTCTACATTTAGAATTGGAATTTAACACACTTATTTAAATGAAATGTATACTGGGAGAGTCATCCTGGGGCAGTGATTACAGACACTATTTACATATTTTTCTGTTGACCTAGAATATGAAAGACTACTTAAGACCATATATCTCATTATTGAATGTTGTGCCCCCAAAACAATTTAATCTTTAATTAGTATATGGTAAGTATTCTTTATGTTTTTGCTGAGCTCAGTTTTAAGTAGAAAATAATTTTATTCCATAAACTTGAAAGCTATAGAAGCAGTCTCCAAAAAGACAGTGATGAAATATCCACTCAAAACAATACCACCACAACAGCAAGAACAAGTTTCAATTTGGGGAAATATAAAAATCCCCAGGGATTAAAAACAATCAGGGCCAGGTATGATGGCACACACCTTTAATCCCAGTACTCTGGAGACAGAGGCCGCCAGATCTCTGTGAGACTGAGGCCAGCCTGGTCTACACCGCAAGTTCCAGGCCAGCTGGGGCTATAGGGAAGACCCTGCCTCAAAACAAAACGAGACAAAAACAACAAATCTAAATCTAAACTACAGTCACAAAAAAATTAAAATTAGCAAAATATCCATAAATATTCAGATGGCCCATAGAGAATTACATTCAAAAACTATTCAAGTGAAATAGCTCGAGACTGGACAAAGCATGGGCTACCAAATCAACAGATCACAATGTGAAAACCATCTCTATAAAGCACTTGCTAAGGCTTGTATGAAGTCAATTCCTCAGCCTCTTTATCTGTAAAATGAAGGCAACACCTAAGCTGTAATATATGCCTTGCCTCCATAGGAACTCCATATGTAGAAATGTTTTTATTCTCAACTGCTACTGGACAGAATAAAGGTCAGTGCCCCATGTTTACAAATCATGGATGGAAGGGTGAAAAAACATCCTTAAATACACAAAAGGGAGAGAAGAAATCTAAGACATACTGTGATGGTTTGAATGAGAATGTCCCTCATAGACTCCAAGTATTTGGACATTTTTGTCCCCAGTTGGTGGTGCTGTTTTGGGAGGTCTTAGAAGGTGTGGCCATTTTGGAAGAAGCATGTCACTGGGGGTGGGCTCAGACAGTTCCTAAGGTGTGGCCATGCTGGAGGAAGCATGTCACTGGGGGTGGGCTTAGGGAGTTCTTAAGCCTCACTAAATAAATTGCCAGTCCTACTCTATTTCCTGTGACAGCTTGAAGATGTGAGAGCTTAGCTTCTGATCCTCCTCCAGCCACCTCTGCAGCCATGCCTCCCTGCCATGATGGGCTCTGGAACTGTAAGCTAAATAACTCTTCCTTTTATAAGTTTCCTTGGTCATGGTGTTTCTACCACAGCAACAGAAAAGTGACTAATACACATACAAAGAGTAAGAGGAGCAGATGACCTTTCTTAAAATGATGATGTATGACTTGGAAAGTAAGGTGCTAAGCCAGAATGATATATACTTTCAACAGTGAGCAAGCAAGAAAAGTTCTTGTAAAATTAGTAGTGTCTGGAGTCAGTTGATACAAATTCCATTAACTAGTATTTGTCAGCTGTGGCTTAACCTATATTTTAAAAAATCTTCCAAAGAATAACACTTCTTATCACAAAAAGTTAAAATATACAACCAAGGAGAAAATTTATCACTGGTTTTGAATTTTAACAACAAAAAACTTCCTAAAATTATCTCAATTTCTCAGTACCTACAAAAGAGCATCTTGTGAGGGCCTCACTTAGAAAATTTATAAAACTGTTATCCATATTTCCATTCCTAATCTATACAATACATTTTGTGATGCTTAGTGTTAACTCCTGCCTGTGGGGTATTATCTTGATTAGGTTAAATGATATGGGAAGACCCATCTTAACTGTGGGCAGGCCATTCCCTATGCAGGGAGGGGCTCCTGGACTGTGTGAGTGGAGAAAGCAAGCTGAACACTAGCTTGCATACATTCACTGCTCTCTTCTTCCTGTGGATGTAATATGACCAGCTGCCTCAAGTTCCCAGTACCTTTACTTCTCACCCATGATACAGGGTAATCTAGAACTAAACAAACCCCTTCTCCCTTAAGTTGCTTTTGTCAGTATACTTTTAAAAGATTTGTTAGTTGTGTGTGTGTGTGTGTGTGTGTGTGTGTGTGTGTGTGTGCCTGCATGAGCTTATGTGCACCATGTGCCTGCTGGAACCCGGGCCCGGGGAGGGGGGGGTGGTGCAGGAGAAAGTGTAAAATTCCCAGGAACCGGAGTTAGAAGTAAACCACCATGTGGATAATGGGACCTAAACCCAGGTCCTCTGCAAGAGCAGTGAGTGCTCTTAATGGTTGAGCCATCACTCCAGTCCTGGACTATTTAGTGATAACAATCAGAAAATAAACTAAGAAAGTCTTCCTTGAAGCACTTCTAGCAGCAAAACTACTGAAATCTGTGTTCTGATCAGGTCTTCATCAATTCCAATTTCTTTAGGCATCATGTTTACTTCACACACTTGTTGCACTTCTCAGTCCAAAGTTTCATGACTGTCCCATTCTGTTCTACTGCCATAACTACCTCCTGAGGCCATATCATCTTATAGCACCTCTGTGGGGTTTCCTGAATTCAGAAATCTACAACACTTAAGAATTCTCTTCTAAAATGCATTTTCACTAATCACTTTGCTGTCTTGGTAATCTGCTATGGGTTTCATGTACTTGCGTAACTCTCCTCATCAGACAACCCATCTTCCCAAGGTTCCCTACGTAGTTTATGGTCAGAACAGAGCATGCTTGCACACATTTTATCTGCCTGACCCTAGCCATCTCGTCTACCATGCTCACTGATTCTTCCAGCCAACCATCCTTTCTTGTAAATGGTCCTATATGAGCAACATGATTCCTAACCAAACCTTCCTAGATGGAGCCCAATTTCAGAGTGCTGATTCCAGAAGCCCTTCTGTTGTCTCTAAATAATGACATTCCAATACACAGTATCTCTTAATTGTGCTATACTTTGCAGATGTACCTTCAAAGTACACAGAATAGATCTAAGTATGGATAAAAAGTAGCATGAAGGTGATTTTTATTATATTATTAAGTTCAATTTCTTCAGGGTAGATAACATTTCTCATTCTTTCAACAACTATTACCTGAGCACCCACCATCTTGTAAGTCTTAGGGGCATAGTGAATAACACAGACCTAAATCTGGGACCTCACTAAGAATATACTGTAGTGAGGAAGACAGATGCCACGCAAGATGTCTGTGCTGGATAGCTTTAGTGTCAACTTGACACACCTGGGTTGAGGGAGCCTCAACTGGGGAATTGCCTTCATTGGACTGGCCTGTGGCATGTCCAGGGGGCATCTTCTTGACTGTTGAGTGATGTTGGAGGGCCCAGCCCACTGTGGGTGGTACCACCCCTGGCAAGTTGGGCTTGTGTTGCATAAGAAAGCAGGCTGAGCAGGGGCCAGGGGAGCAAGCCAGTAAGCAGCATTCCTCCATGGCCTGTGCTCCAACTCCTGCCTCCAGATTCCTGCCCCGAGTTCCTACCTTGGAGTCCTTGATGAATTGTGACCCAGGATATGTAAGCTAAATAAACCCTTTCTTCCCCAAGTTGGTATTGGTCAGAACGTTTTGTCACAGCAATGAAGAAACAAACTAGGACAATGTCAATAAATAACAATAACAAAAATACAAAAGTTAGATCATTGAAGTGTTAAAGGACAAAAATAAAAAAAGTAGAGCAGGGAAGGGAAATACAAGGTGTTACAGTGGGAGAAAGAAGCAGGTTAAAAATGTAGAGAAGGAGACTAATAGATAGAGACTTCTCTGCACAGACCAAATGAAGAGCAGAGGTTTTCCATGTGTTGTAGCATCACCAGTGACTCTGAATACATACTGTACCTAACAGTGGCCACATTGAAAATGCCAGCAGATAAATTAGTTACCAGTGTAGTAATAAAATGCTACCTGCCACTAATAATAGTCTACTGTCTTCTCTAAGATGATTAGAAAGGGGTCATGGAAACTTTTACACAAAAGAAATTCACAGGCCATTGATAGTGGAACATATGTTTATGAAGAAAAAGAGAAACAAAGCCCATGCGTAAAGCAAAACTCAACATAGCCCATTTCTTAAAAAGCTCCTTAAAAGCCATACAAGAGAAGCTGGAGAGATGCTCAGAGGTTAAGAACACTCACTGTTCTTTCCAGAGGACCCAGGTTCAGGTCTCAGCACCTAAGTAGTGGCTAACAATTGTCCATAACTCCAGTTCCATGGGATCCAATACCCTCTTCTGGCCTCTGTGGGTATTTCATGTATGTGATACACTTTCATGTATGCTGGCAAAACTCTCATACACATTAAATAAAAATTTTAAAACTTTAAAAAAATTATGTGTGTGTGCCTATGATGCCTGTGGAGGCCAGAAGAAGGCAGAGGATCTCCCGGAGCTACCGGATGTGGATACTGTGAACTGAACTAGGGGCCTCTGTATCCGCAGCAAGTGCTCTTAAGTGCTGGGGCATCTCTCCAACCTCCGTTCTTTAATTAGATGAACTGATTTCATTTCTAGAAAGCATGCCTAAACAACTGGTCCACAAAGTAATCTGAGAAAAAACTAGAGACAAAGGGCTCATATCTTACTTAACATCCATCCATCAACCTATCTCTATCTTTTTAAAGTAATAAATCATTAAAGATAATCTTTCAAATTTTTTATTAGATCTTTCTTTTCAGTTTTGAGCAAAGACTCATCAAAAGAAATTGGTGCCTCAAAGTTGCTATAAGGTACAATGTCCAATTCTGTATCATCAAATTCCTTCTCTCTTTGCATAGACCTTTACCAGATATCATTATTTCCCCCATGACAGTCTATGGATACTAGGGACAAATAGTAGTGAGACATAGTTGTACAAATTCATCTATTTTAGTCATAACGCAATTGAAAGAAAGCCAAGTAGACAATCAGGCACCTTTAGAGCAACATTTAACAAGATGTGAACCAATGGACCAAGTTAGTTTGCTGAGTACTCATATTTCAAATAAAAATATAAATGCTTTCAGTATTTCAAAAGTAATCAATGGTTGATATATCACAGAATTCTAAACATGTATCTGATCTTTGTTAAACAACTTTTAAAAGTCAAAGCACTGTCCACAGAAACACTCTAAAGATTCCAGGAAGTAAAAAATGAGCCTGTACTTCCCAATGATGCCTCACTTTACTTTTTTTTTAGAGAGAGAGTTTCACTATGTTGCTTGCAGCAGCCTTGAGCTCTTGGAGCAGAGCTCAAGCAATCCTTCTGCCTCAGCCTCCCAAGTAGAATATGTTGCCACACCCAGCTAAAATAATGAAGGCTTCTGGTTTTGGTTTTGTTTTTCTAAGACTGAATCTCACTATGTATCCCAGGCTGATCTTGAACTCAAGCTCCTCTGTTTAAGACACCCAAGTAGCTTGGACTACTGAATTCACCTGAAGAAAAAAAAAACCAAAAAACCTGGGGCTGAAGAGATAGTTCAGTGCTTAAGAGTATTGGCTGCTCTTGCAGGGGACCCTGGTTCGATTCCCAGCAACCACATGAACTATGGCAGCTAACAACAGTCTCTTCTGACCTCCCAGGCATTACATGACATGAATGCACCTACCTACATGCAGGCAATACACTCATGTACATAAAATAAATAATTTAAAAAAAAGCTTTGGTAGTCTCATACAACTATTAAAAATATGTAAATCACAGAAAAATTCTTTAGTTATATTCTCATTGCTTCTTATTTTTCCCATTACTGGACAAAAGACAGAATATTTCTTTTGGGCCTAAGGCAGTAAGTATGGGATGGATGGATGGATGGATGGATGGATGGATGGGTGGGTGGGTGGGTGGGTGGATGGATGTAGATAGATACGATATTTTTTTAGACACTAGGAAAAGGATTTTTGTAAGCTCAGCTTTGGGAAAGGGCATATGATAGACTAGCTTGTTTTGTGTGGACAGTTCAATGAAGCCTTCATTCACCAGCAGTACAGTAAACAAAGGGCACCCTGAATTTCAAAGGCACTTACACTCCCTCATCTGCAACCACCCCTCTGTGGGTGCATCTCTCATGCTGCTGCTCTGCACTCCTTCACACTCACTTCCCTGCTTACCTTCTGACTAGACTTGTGGTCTTCAGGAAAAGAAGCTACAACCTTACCCTTCTCTGCCTTGTAAAATTCAGCACATTGCTAAGAAGATATCCAATGATAACTTCCCCTACAAGAATCTGAGCAACTGAAAAATGAAAATGTCTACATAGAACACACTCCAAAACTTGACTAACAAGTATGTTAAATGGCTCAAGAATTAACTCAAGTAATTATGATTTCCATTTACTAAGTGTCATCTGAAAAATACAGTAAGAGTGGGAGCAATTTAAACTTACTGAAAGGATATTATACCAACTCTTGATTCCTTAGCAAAGTATCAAGTCCATTTCTCAAGTCCCATGGTATCTCTATTCTCAAGATGCTAAATGTCATGAAGATAAAAGTTTTCATAAGTAGGTTCTAACTTCACAGTCAGTGAAATTACAAGTGTATTTAAGTTTGAGAAGGTTATTTGGCTAAATATTCTACATGCAGTACACTACACCTAATCAATCCTAAAGCCTTTCTACATTAGAACAGGCATAGGGAACTAGTAAAATGCCAAAAATCACAAACAGCAGAATCAAGTCACTGAAAGGGGCCTTAGAAGTTACCAAGGTGAACTTACATGCTCCACCATGGCTAGTGCAGATTGTAGGCACAAACATTGTGTCTGTAGGCACAGACACAACACTGTCGCTCTGCTCAGCAGTTGCAGCCATCATACAGACTAGACATTCACCACATGCTTTCCTTGGTTCTAAAGACAAATCTAGAAGAAACTGCCTTCAGATATTTTAGACAATCACAACTGGTATCAACAGGAATTTCACTGCAGTCTACTGAGAAAGAAAAAAAAAAAAAAAAAAAAAAAAAAAAAAAAAGTACCCTTGGTGGGCAAAGGCTGCTTCAGTTCTGAGAGGAAGCAAAGTCCTAGTCCACTAAGACACTGCTGCTTCTAGGAATTCTCTTACTGCTTTCTGCATCTGCTAGAAATGCTGCAACAGACCAGAACAGAGCGGCCAGAGGTTGACCAGCTTTATTCCTCTGGTAAAGCTAAAACACAGAACCAAAGAAATGAAGATTCCTGCCCTTGACTTTTACTCTATGAGGAAATACTAAACATTCCCTGGAAGTCAAGGGAGAAATAAGTCAATTAAAAAGTTTCTAGCTTTGAGTTGTCCCTGCAGAGTATCAAATTCATTTATTAAGTTTTCTTTAAAACACTAATAATTGGGCTGGAGAGATGGTTCAGCAGTTAAGAGCACTGACTGCTCTTGCAGAGGACCTGGGTTCGATTCCCAGCACCCACATGGCAGCTAACAACCATCAGTAACTCCAGTTCCAGGGGACACCTTCTGAGATCCGTGGGCATTGCATGACATGGGTGCACTTACACACTTGCAGGCAATATACTCAATACACATAAAATAAAAGTAATTATAAAATTTTAAAAATTAAAAAAATACACTAAGGCTGGGTGGGCATGGTGGTGCATGCCTTTAATCCCAGCACTGGGGAGGCAGAGGCAGGCGGATCTCTGTAAGTTCTCCTGGTCTACACAGTGAGTTCCAGGACAGCTGGGGCTACAGGGAAACCCTGTCTCAAAAAAAATAAATAAATAAAAAATACACTAATAATTATTAGACTCCACCTAGAACTGTATAGTTATCTAATCCTTATATAGCCAAGGTCTAGCTTTCTCTTTGATTACAAAATTCTCTGGTACTGAATTATTTTATTATTATTTTTATTTTATGTGTATGCATGTATTGCCTGCATGTAGTTAAGTGCACCTGTGTTGTGCAATGCCCGTGGAAGACAGAAGAAGCTGACAGATCCCCTGGGACTGGAGTTACAGACAGTTGTTAGCTGTGGGTGCTAGGATTTGAACCTGGTACTGAATTAAAAGCCTCACTAACCACAATTACTTTTCAACATTTTTTAATGAGAAAGAAACTGGTTGGTAATAGTTATAATGTAGAAGATTATACTTTACTTTAAAGTAGCTACAAACTTATGAAAGGAAACGGTTCCATTACTATTCTTGGTTTTAACTTTACTTATAGATAGCCAATAATAACTTTCCTTAAAAAAGTCTGAGCAATTAAGAAATGAAAACTCTCACACAGGGCCTGCAAGATGGCTCCGCAATTAAGAAAAGAAAACTCTCACACAGGGCCTGCAAGATGGCTCTGCAGATAAAAGTGCTTACATCCAAGTCTTAGGATCTGAGTTTGGCTCCTAGGAACCACGAGGTAGAAGGAGACCTGACTCCTCCAAGTTGTCCTCTGATCTCCACATGTGCACTATGGCACCCACACAATCACACCCACACAAATAAAAAACAAATACATAAATAAATGTAATAAAAATATTTGTATTTAAAAATCCTCCCATATGACTGAAGTCATAAAACAGTACAGAACTCAGAACTTGACAAAGCTTAACAGCATTACCTTTTTGGCACTTTCAGGACCTGATTCATCAAAGCGAAATCTGACAATTCTGAAATCTTTACAATAAATAATTAGTTCTGTTGGATTAAATTTCAGCTTCTGGTTGGGGCCTAGAACTTTCTGCTTCCTCTTGTGGTCATTTACTGTGACAGTTTGCTCAATACACGTTAAAGGGACATCATGTTCTCCGAGAAGAAGGTTTCTGTAATGGAATTTCTGCAACGGCATTGGATCATCTGTAATAAAGATTCCCTACAATCTGTCCTCTTACCTCCATGCAAGCTAAGGTATATGCACACATAGATACACACAAAACAAATACATAAATAAATGTAATAAAAATATTTGTATTTAAAAATCCTCCCATATGACTGAAGTCATAAAACAGTACAGAACTCAGAACTTGACAAAGCTTAACAGCATTACCTTTTTGGCACTTTCAGGACCTGATTCATCAAAGTGAAATCTGACAGTTCTGAAATCTTTACAATAAATAATTAGTTCTGTTGGATTAAATTTCAGCTTCTGGTTGGGGCCTAGAACTTTCTGCTTCCTCTTGTGGTCATTTACTAAAGAAGAAGAAGAAAAAAAAAAAAAAAGAAGGAAAGAAAATTGTGACAGCATTCTTTCTTGTTATTCTCTGGTGCACTTAATAAGCAAATGTTTAGTGGAAACCAACATTAAGTCATTTATCACCTGAGCACTGCTTCTCAGACTCTTCATATTTATCTGTGACTCCTAGAACTTTCAGGGGTTGGCTTTAACTTTGACTCTGGAGATATTTTAGAGGATCTTTGCATAAAACTACCATTGCCTTGATATATTTAATGACTAAAATTTTATTTACAAAGAACAAAATGTATAAACTATACAAAAAAGTATCTCCATTTTACAAGAATTTCTTGACATTTCTTTTTCACTAAGGCCCTAGAATTTAAAAGGAGTAGGGGAGTGTATATAAGTAAGCATACAGATTAAAATTCAAACACACATATTGGGAGGTGTGACCCTTCAAGAAATACTTCTGGCATGCAAATAACTTTTAGAGGCTCATTCTTATTTTTTAGATGAGGGTCTCATGTGTTTCCCTTTAACTCCTGGGCTCAAATCATCCTTCTATCTCACTTTTCCAGGTAGTTGGGGCTATAGGTACAGGCTACCACACCCAGCTTTTATTTTCAGAGCGAACACATGCAGAATACCACATACCTGTGACAATTTGCTCAATACACGTTAAAGGGACATCATGTTCTCCAAGAAGAAGGTTTCTGTAATGGAATTTCTGTAATAAAAAATTATGTTCATATGAATTCTTTTCTCAGTGCCCTCACAGTGGTAATAACAAGCTTTAGTTTTGGAGTACTGAGAAACATTACTATTGCCAAAAAGCACAAAAAGCTTTTGCTGTGCAACAAGGGGCCATCCTAAAGATATGGTGTCTCACAGCACTGGGAAAGCAGGGGTGGAAGGGCATGTGCTGAGTGTGTCTTTTCCCACACTTTTGTTTTGTTTTTTGAGACAAGGACTTGATAGGTAGCCCAAGCTGACTCTGAGCTCCCGAGGACTCTTCAGCCTCAGCTACCTAAGTATAGGATTCCAGAGGGCCACCACACCAACCTCCTACACTTCATTCTAACAGGAGATTAAAATACAAACCACAATGCACCTATAATGCCTAAGAACTGTAGTATGATCAACTACTCTATAAGTAAACATTTGCATTGTTTCATATAAAACTAGCCACAAAGTGATAAAGGAAAAGGAGCTCTCAGGATACCAGATTTTAATGGGTAAAGTCATGCTTGATTTTACAATGGAGATTTAGAGAAGACAGCAACCTATAGCACAGTAGCTACTAGAAATTTTTTTTAATTTTTTTTTCTTTTGTTTTTGTTTTTGAAATAGGGTCTTGCTACATGACTCAGGCTGGCTTCAAACCTGTGAGTCTCCTGCCTCAGTTTCCCAAGTACACCAATCTTAGAAAAAGCCTTTGGGGATAGGTTTGTAATTAGGTTGATAGAAGTCTTGGATTTGATTCCCAGTAGCACATAAAATTTGGTCACAGTGGAGTACGCCTATAATCCCAGTATTGGGAGGTAAAGGCAAGAGGATCAGAGAAGTTCAAGGTCATCCTCAACTACACATAGAGTTTGAAGCCAGCCTGGGTTACATGTGGGGGGAGGGCAGAAAGAAGGAGAGAAAAGTCTTTTGGTAAACTATAGCTCTTTGTTTTTGCCTGTTAACAAACATTTTCTATTCATTTTTCAAACCAAGACACAGTTGGCACTAAGTGCCATCAGTGGGGTGCCAGTTTATTTTTTCTATTATTGGTCTTGGATTTAAGCTACTCTAGGTACACATTTCTCATGTTCAGTGAAATCTGGGGCCAGAGATCGTTAATGAAGTGAAAAACAAAGGGAAACCTCAAGTCCTACACCCAAATAAGCTACTATCCTATATAGTAAGAATTTGTAAATGCCTTCAAATTTAATCTAAACATAACTTCAGAAAATTAATAAGCATGCAAATATATAATAAATTAGTGAATGACTGTGAAATAAGAAGATATACTTACAGATCATTCAAAGAAATGCTTATAATATTATGTAAGGATTTCATTAAAAACAATTGTTATTAGAATAAAAATCTAGGAGGCAAAATTAAAAACACTATATATCAAAACAGAAAACAGCTAAGAGAAAAGGCCAGGACTTCTAACTTAATCAAATGAATTCATGAACCTTTAAAAACAAAAATTGGATAGAACACTTAATTTCCAGTAAGAATATAAAATAGCAACAAGGTTGTTAAAGAAAAATTTTATCAGTATTTTTCTTCATTATTACTGTATACTAGAAAGTAGAATTAAGGTTTCTGGGGAAAGAGCTAATTAGTTAAAACAAAGAAATCAGTAAAATGTTCAACATTTATAAAATTATTTGCCAAATAGCTGCATTTTTCTCTTTATGATTAGTAAGAAAGAATACCTTTGCTTCAACAACAGTGTGACAATGCTCACTGTTGCTGCAGTGTGAGTCTGGCATTCTTCCCCTTCAAAATTCTCCAACTTATATAAAGTTTTTCAATGTAATCATGTTATTGTTTTTTTTTAATATTAATGAAGCGAGGGGAGGAGGGGGAGGGGGAGGGGAGAGGGAGAAAAGGGATACATAACCAAGGAGAAGAATAAGAAGAAAAGGATACATAACCAAGGATCCCAGAGGCAAAAGCAAAAGTGACTTTACACTCATCTCACTAAGCCCAATGTGATGGTACTTGGGAGGCAGAGGCAAGAGGATCAAGAGTTCAAAGCCAGCCTGAACTACACAGTGAGACTGTTTCAAAAAACTAAGGGCCCTCAGGAGGCAGAGGCAGATGGATCTCTGTGCGATCAAGGACAGCCTGGTTTACATAGCGAGTTCCAGGAAAGTTCCAGGCCAGCTGGGACTAGGGAGACCCTCTCCAAAAAAACACCAAAAACAAAAAAACAAAAATGAAGGGTCCGGCATGGTTACACATGCCTTTAGATCAAGGCCAGCCTGGTCTACACAGCAAGTTCCATGCCATCTGGGGCTACAGGGAGACCCTGTCTTAAATAAACAAAACAACAAGAACAACAAAAAAACATGACCAAGACCACAGGTTTGATCCCCAACACTAATGAAAACAAAACAAAAATCATAAAATCTACTAATCCTACTCCTCAAGCAAGTCCCAACCTTCTGAGTCCTATTTGAATTTTTTTTGTCTTTTTTCATATTTGAATTTTTATGGACTATATTTCCATCATTAATCATTTGTTGATAATTTTTAGTTAATTTTTTCATATTTATGATTTATATAACAATACATTCTGTGTAGAATCAAAGTCTCAACACAATTAAACAGTGTAAAAATAAATACCTGCAATGGCATTGGATCATCTGTAATAAAGGAGATTCTGAAGTTACTGCATATCAGCTTTCCCCACAAATCGTACTGGCTCGTGTCTGTTGCAATGCATTTTCTCACAAAATTTACTTCATTTACAACAATTTCTCCTGAAAAAAAAATCAGTGTGTTAGCTACAACTATGACATACAATGTTAGCTAGCAGTCACTGTGTGACCTAGCTGGAGGACTTCATGACTGGATGGTGACAGAAGCAATGGGGAGCACCCACTGACTGGAAATGAGGGCAAAACTCAGGAGTCTGAGCTGACTGGCCAGAAGGCTGGCCCCGCCGCACATCTTTTTTCTGCTCTCCTGCCTCTAGTTGGCTATTTGTTGAAAGACATTCTGGAATCAATTGCATCATCTTCTTCAGAGTATTATGTGATGGAATATAAGCTATGCATGATCTAACAAATCATGTCTTGGATTCATTTTGTAAGGGATGAGAACCAGCATTTAGTTTATTTTAAAATATACTCCATAAAACCTTTGCATTCAAATTATAACTTAATAAACAATAAAATTCTAAAACAAAGTTTGAGTTAAAAGGAAAGATTAGAGAAACTAGTATTAGGAACCACAATGAGAGCACTAATAAGCTTCTGAAAAGAGTAATTTTCTATATAAAAGTATTTTAAAGCTTGATCATCATTTTAAGATCTAAAACTCAATTAGACCAAGGAACAGTTTTAAGCCATCAGTCTCCTTGGTCAACAGTAAAAAGCCAGAGTACTACTCTATTTTGTAGATTTCTATTATTATAAGAATATTTTAGAGTTGGGTATGGTGGCACATGCCCTTAGTCCCAGAATTCTGGAGGCAGAAGCAGGCAGATCTCTGTAAGATCAAGACCAACTTGGTCTACATAGTGAGTTCCATGCCATCTGGGGCTACAGGGAGGCCACATCTCAAAAAAAAAAATTACAAATATATA